GTAACGCGCGCGTAATGCCTGTTATTGCAGGCGTTCATAGGCTACGGTAACCACTTCCCATCAGGTGGGACGCATGCTTGTTTCCTACCTCAACTGATTAAAAAATAAAACTAGCGAGTAATATATGGACTATGTATTTATTATTTATGTACGTACGTAGGACCCAACGACCAATTATAATTATGGTATCAAATGGTACCAAGGTATCAAAAATTTGCGTATTAAAGTCACTATTTGACTATTATAAAGAAAAAGAGAGAGAGAGAGAAAGAGAGAGAGAGAGAGAGACAGAAAGAGAGAGAGATGTGTTAATAAGCACAAAAAAAAATTATGAGAGCAGCACCATCGAACTCAGCTAGTGAAAAAATAACGCAGAAACCTTTAATATGTACAAGTCATTAAATCATGTTTTAACGTAAAATTAAAACTTCTCAACTCCTTCTTAGATTTCAAAAGGAAATCAGAAAGTGACCTTTCAACTTTTAAACAAGTAACTTATGTCGGTAAGGGTCGCCCTAGACGGACGTATGTCGACCAATTAGGCGACGTGCTGAAGAAGAGCCGAATTAAAAGTACCCGTAACCGGCGAGCGTGTATGAAAAGATTGATGAATGTGGAGGAAGCGAAAGAGGTATGTTTGAATCGAAGCATTTGGCGTTCCATTGTTTCTGCCTACCCTAATAGGAGACAGGCATGACAGATATGTATGTATGTATGTAACTTATACAAAATATTAGGAAATTAAAAATATGAAATATATTTAAATTGCAAATTATATGTGTTCATCAAGTCAGTCGTTAACTGTCCACTACTGAACGTAAGCCTCCCCCTTGAGGGGTTTGCCAGTAGTTGCCACGCTTGGCAGGCGGATTGGCAACCTCGGTCAGGCTTTAGAGATGTTTTAGGAGGGACGCTGCTGCCCATCCTTCGCCATTCTTTAGTCGACTCTTATGACACCCACAGGAAAGGAAGGAGTGGCCTATTCTATGCCAGAACCATACGGCAAGACCCATGTTTAAGGTAAAGCAAAAGAACTTTTTGGTAAAGCAGAAGCCATAATTAAATGACTCCGAAAAAACCATTCCGTCTAATTTTTTAGGGCCTTTTAAGGTAGGGCATTGCCTCTTAATACGTAACGGTCATGCGGGGTAACCATTACATTATTATGATATACATACATACATATCTGTCACGCCTGTCTCCCATTAGGGTAGGCAGAAACAATGGAACGCCAAATGATTCGATTCCTATAATATTTAAAAATAAAAATGAGTTTCTCGATACTAATGATCTTTCCCCCCCAAATATTCAATTTAAATTCTTACATACCTATCTTATATAAAGTACGTAAAACAAATCTCTCCATCATCAGATGACGGGCGAGCAGGTGTACCCGCGGCAGTGATTAGTGGCCCCGACCTCGTCGGACCCGGGACGCGACCCGGGACTTACCTGTGTCACTCCAAATATTGTTGCCGTCACAAACATGAATTTGAAGTTGAACTTGCTACTTTTAATGTATTTCTAAATGTAATTAAATGATGGCGGTTACTAGAGAGTGCGACACATACGCACATAGATAGTAATATAAGTATGTGAATGTGTGTGTGTGTGTGTGTGTGTGTGTGTGTGTGTGTGTGTGTGTGTGTGTGTGTGTGTGTGTGTGTGTGTGTGTGTGTGTGTGTGTGTGTGTGTGTGTGTGTGTGTGTGTGTGTGTGTGTGTGTGTGTGTGTGTGTGTGTGTGTGTGTGTGTGTGTGTGCGTGTGCAAGTGCGGGCGTGCGTGCGTACGTGCGTGCGTGCGTGCGTATGTGTGTGTGTGTGAGTGTAGTGTGTGTGCTTTAATGATTTTTAAAGAAGATACATCAGTAGTAGTATAATAGACTATATAGACTACGGTACGGTACGGTATAATAGACGATATGGACTAAATAGGCTACGGTAATCACTTACCATCAGACGCGACGTATGCTTGATTGCCAACTCAGTGGTATAAAAAAACTGAAACTTTAATAAACTAAAACAACAAACATTTTTAATGAATGTAGTCAATCTTTGCTCTCTGTACTACAACAATTGTATAATAATTTTAAGATGTACTATTGGTAATCACTAATATTTAATAAATAAAAATTCATTGGTTCACACATTCATTTATTCACGATATTCCTTCACGCTAATCTCCGAAACCTCTTAACCGATTTTAATAAAATTTTATTCATATTACCTCCTCTAAATTGAGAGATTTTATATTAAAAAATAAAAAAAGCGTATCCGTACAAAATAATTTTTCCCTCAAATCAACAAAGTGTAAATTTAGATCGTCTCTAATTTTGTTATAGATCAATTTATAAGCAGAAATCTTTCTTGCTCGAAGTACTTAACTAACTTAAACTTCCAAATTAGGTACAAGTTTCCTCCTATTACCTACGAAATATCCACTTTAAAAGTTTCAATACTTAATTAGATCATCAAAAATTTAAAGTACTCGTAGCCAACCCATAAAGTTGAAACTTATGACGTGTCTAAGTTATATATCATATATTCTTTATTGCACTAAAACATACAGTAACAACAATAAGTTAATAACAATGTTAGCAAAGTCGAACTTATCTCTAAAAGAGATTTCTTCCAGTCAACCTAACGCAGTGGCATAGTAGTTAGTTAGTTAGTTAGTTTTTTTTTATTCGATGAAAATGGAATGATAACCCCACCTGCGCTAACGGGATTTTTCACCATCGTACAACCCGCCATAAACTAAAATTTCATTCCAACCATGTGGACGAGTGGCGGTCCTACACCGTGCGTTTTTCAAGGCACTTTCTCCCACGCACAACCACTCTTTGGAATCAACTTCCAGCAGCAGTATTTCCGAACCGATACGACAACATAACCTTCAAGAAAAGAGCATATTCCTTTTTAAAAGGCCGGCAGCACACCTGCAATGCCGTAGGTGTTGTGGGTGACCATGGGCGGCGGTAGTCACTTACCATCAGGTGAGCCGCATGCTCGTTTGCCCGCTGTGTTGTAAAAAAAAAAGATACGCTGACGGGGCACCAGTGAATGGTGATCGATGAGGATGAAAACAGGCCAGTTAGCCCATCATGATGAATTCATCTGGAATTAATCATGATAGTTTCCAGGGGGAGCCGCGAGGAGGTCGACCTGGTTGGGTTCTAAGTTAGTAGTTGTTTAAATAGTTTATTTTGGTTGTGTAACGAAATGAGTCTGGAAGTTGTGGGTGATACGAAATGAAGCCTATCAGTTATGAAGAAATAAAACTTGTTAGCGATATAACATTGGTCAGGCAGACACTCGTATCTCGTGTGGATATCAGATGCTCTGCAATTTTTTCTTTTTTTTTTATACAACTTAGAATGGCAAACAAGCTGACGGCCCACCTGATGGAAAGTGGTAACCGTCGCCTGTAGACATGAGCAGTATCATGGACATAACAGAGTATACTGTTTCGCCCATGATACCCCCCATTGCTTGGCCATTCCTGAGGACTCAGGTGTTATTCCTCTGTACCCAGTAAATTCACGCCATATCCCACCCTTCAAACCGAAACACAGCCATGCAAACACAACTGCTTCACGGTTGAAACACGAATGGAACAGAGGTACCCAAGCAATCGACTTTTGTACAAAGTCTCCCTCTGGTAATTCTTAATTTCAATTATTATTTTTGGTGATATAATGAAATTTCATCATCTTCATCAATTTAGCCATTACCCGTCCACTGCTGGACATAAGCCTCCTCTATAGATTGCCACAAGGAACGGTCCTGAGGTACCTGCATCCATTGACTCCCTGCAATGCATTACATGTCGTCACTCCATCTAGTGGGGGATCGTCCTACACTATATTTTCCCATACGGGATCGCCACTCAAGAACCTTTCTACACTATGAGTTCTCGATTCTTCGAGCTATGTGACCAGCCCATTGCCACTTCAGCTTGCTTATCCTTCGGGCTACTTTGGTTCTTTTGCGGATATCCTCGTTTCGGATTCTATCACGCAAAGAGACCCCGAGCATAGCCCTCTCCATAGCCCGCTGAGTAATTTTAAGCTAAAAATAAAACATAAAAAAATTGATTTATACTGAATTATAATATAGACGTATAGGTCCCGGCATTGAATTGGTGACCCTTCCTTTCTCGAGGGTGTTGTAAGAGGCGACTAAAAGACCTTAGGATGGAGGGATGAGCAGCAGCGTCCCTCTTAAAACATCGCCAAAAGCCAAACAGCGGTTAAAAAGCTGCCTGCTAAGTGTGGCAACTACTGGTAAACCCTCTTTATAGGGGAGGCCATGTACAGCAAAAGACAGATAATGGCTAATTCATTCATTCATTCATAATGTAGGTAAATAAAGCATATAATACATAATAATATGAGATAATAGGTGAGAACGAAAGCAAGTCAATTAGCCCATCGTGACGAATTCCACAAAAAATAATCGCGACTGTTTCTAAATGGAACCTAATAGGGTATATATGCTAGTACTGAAGCTGTTAGATTTTATTACTAACAATCCCTTTCCCCCAAATGAGTAACGGTTTTCCATCCACGCCTTCATATCTTGTTATCATTTTTCAGATACCCGACGGAGCCATTTTATTTCTTTAGAATTTGTACGTAAAAAAACTGATTTCAACTATGTGTACCTGGGGGGAAAGGGATTGTTAGTAATGAAGACTGAGAATCCCATTGCTAACAATATACCCAACCAGGTCGACCTCCTCGCGGTTCCCCCTGGAAACTATCATGGTTAATTCCTGATGAATTCATCATGATGGGCTAACTGGCCTGTTTTCATTCTCATCTATCACCCTTCACTGGTGCTCCGCCGGCGTATTCCGTTAGCGTAGGCGGGGTTACCATACTATTTTCATCCATAAAAAAAAAACTATGTGTACCTTATCACCTATTTTGTCTTCTTAGATACCTGCATCTTTATATTTTATCACTTTTATTTATAAGTTATTTATTCTTTGTTCCAGGCGGAGTGTGGTCACTGCGGAATCTTTCGATCTCAGTGCCCAGGGCGGTTCTCGCTGGTGAAGGCCAGTCAGCAGTTCTGGAATGTTCCTACGACCTGGAAGGAGCTCCGTTATATTCCATACGATGGTACAAATCTGAGACAGAGTTTTACAGATATGTACCGAGAGAGATGCCGCCGTCCATGGTATTCCCTTTGCCTGGAGCTTCAGTTGATGTAAGTATATATATTTATTTCGCTACAATGGGCAGTTGACAAAGACGTTAATTTTGAGGTACCATTCACTGGACATAAAATTATATTTAGATAGTTTGTCAAAACTATTATGGTATAAAGCACTGAGAATCAAATATACGTCAGTTTTGACGCAACTATATATAAAAAAAAAATTCTTGTACATCTTGTACTTATCATTTCGCTCTATATTTTTTTTTTGATGGATAAAAATGGTATGGTTACTCTGCCTGCGCTAACGGTATACGCTGGCGGAGCACCAGTGAAGGATGATAGATGAGAATGAAAACAAGCCAGTTAGCCCATCATGATGAATTCATCAGGAATTAACCATGATAGTTTCCAGGGGGAACCGCGAGGAGGTCGACCTGGTTGGGTATATTGCTAGCAATGGGATTATCACTCTCCATTCCCCTTCCCTCCCCTCCATTTCGCTCTATCGACATTTCAATTTTAGAAATAAAAAAATCGTTTACTATGCCTCTAATTACCCCACCTAGGGTAATTATCGTAGGTGTCATAAGCTTTACCTATAAGTAAGAAACTATAAATATTAAGTTACTGTTTATAGGCTAAGCTGCCTCTCCAGGAAACAGCACAGTAGTTAATGATCAAAATTCAAATTTTAATTATTTCATCTTAGGTTAAAAGCCTCTTAAATCTTCACCTATACATACGTTGAACGTCAATATTTTACTCTTCGGGCTCCTTCAAATAGAAATATTGCAAGCAAGTTGATTGACGGTTAATCTCAATAAACTAAATTAAGAATTTCATTTTAAACAAGCTTCAGCCCGCGATTTTGATCGCGTAATCCATATATACGTATTCACCGACTGGAATAGTAAGTATCCTATATTTTTCTTCATGCCATGTAGAACGTGCATTCCAAATTTCTTAGTGAATGATCAAGCCGTTAAGGCGCTAAAAAGTAACAAACCCACTAACTTGCTTATTTATAAGTATTATTATGTAATCGATTGACAGTTGGCGCAATCAGACCGCAACCAAGTTCGAATAGTGAATATGAACCGTCGTCTGAGCGGCGACTACCAGTGCGAGGTGTCAGCGGACGCGCCCCTCTTCCACACCGATATACGATCAGCGCCGCTCACTGTTGTTGGTAAGTGGATGTGATCAAAATGATCAATTATCAAAGAGCAATGTAGGATTCATGGCCTATGGATAGCCGTATGGTTCCGGCATAGGCTACCCCTTCCTTTGGCGTGAGTGTCGTAAGTCCCTTAGTCGCCTACTAAGGGAGGGCATGGGATGGACAGCAGCGTCCCTTTTAAAACATATCTAAAGCCTAATTGCGGTTACCAACCTGCCTACCAAGCGTGGCAACTACTGGCAAAACCCCCCAAGGGGGAGGCTTATGTTCAGCAGTGGACAGTTAAAGGCTGATGTGACGATGATGAATATGGCATCCATGCTGAGTACATTGCAACTACTGTGGTGACATTAGTAAGCAATGTGATGATAAAGTTTGGACAATTAAGGATTGTAGTGGCCCATGACCCCATTTACGCAAAGCAGTTGCTTTGCTTCGGGTACGTTCCCGGGCCAAATTTGAAAACGATCTCTTCTGAATTGGTTCGGATTTGATTGTTTAGGGTTGTGCCTCTAGAGGTTGGTTACCTGGTTTCTCAAAACATAAATCTTAGCTCGACCACGTGATTGGTGAACTAGTAGCGGCGAGAGGAGGATTTTTTATAAGTCATTTGTGGGGAATCCCTTCTAAGAACTTAAGACGTAATTGGAACTTGCAATATTATTATATTTTTTTGCATATAAGCCGTCAATCTCCGACTGCCATTTTGTTCATGCACGTTTTGCATTGCGAACGCAATTTACCTGTATAAGGCAGCATCTGTCAAATTATTAGGTCGCTGCTCAGAGCCCAGTGCTGACAATTCGGCATCCAAATTAGAAAATTGTTTCGGAATTAAACAAAATACTCGTAATTCTAATTAAATAACCATCATTGGTGTGGAATACGGTTTTACTTTGTAAACTTAGAAATTAGTATTCAGGCCTGTGTTGTACAATAAAGCGTATACAAAACCCACCTGGTAATTTACACGTTAACAAAAATATACGGGGCTTGTAATGAAAACAATGTCAATTAATATGAGTATAAAGGTTAGCATACGTGTTTATATAAACTTTTCATTATTTGCATAAACAAGGAACGTTTGTACATATATATATTTTTTTTATTTTCACAAAAAATAAAAAGTTATTTATTTTTTAAACTTTCTTTTCAATATTGTTCATTTATTGTTTATTGAACAAATATTAGAATAATGATAAAAAGACTAGGCTTCGCTTGTAACTTCGTATGCTTAGATTTTGGAAGTGCGTAACCACATCTAAATGGTGTATTAATATTAAAACTGCAACTGATTTATTTTTTGAGTTTTTTTAATTAATAATAATAATGGTGAACTTTATTTCCTTAAACAATTTTTATTTATACATACCTACATTCCTTAAACAACTTTTATTTATACTTGTACTCAAGTACAAGTGCATAAAAATAGACAGCAAATAAATCTCAAATTTGAATGGAACATAATTTGAAATATTTGAACAATACTTTTTCATTTTTTTTTAATTTTAATTTCTTTTTGTGTTATTTAAAAGATAAAAATCCAATTATCTTACGTTATTAGTTTGCACTAACAGGAAAATAGGGAGGGACGGTACGTCAGAATAAAGCCAGACCAGTTATTTTGTTAAGAGAAATTCATCAGAAATTAATCACGAGGATTTTCAGAGGACTACGTGGAGATCGTCTCAATAGGTTATGTTATTAACTGTGGGGTTTATTATCTTTATCGCCAATAATCCTTTCCTCGTAGTACCAAATTTCTAGTACGTTTTTACTTCAGTTGTGTTTTCCGGTAATTCCCACAAGAATGGTTCACGGACGAAAATGTTTGTTTACACCCAGTTTGTCTCTGTCGTGTTTTATGTTAAATTTTAATTGAAATATTGCTGTTAATAATGACATTCCACCTCTAATATATATGACGTATCCCAGTTAATAACAGGAAAATACACAGAGGCAATTAATATGTAATATATTAATAATTTATTTGATCCCCTAACAGATCCGCCGTTCCGAGCCCCGCATATTTCAATTTCGAGAGATAGTTACGCGCGAGGCGACGTGCTCCGCGCAAATTGCTCGGTCGACGAGGCGTATCCAGCACCGAACATTACCTGGATTATTGACGATCACAAGGTAATTGTGAAATATTTGTTTTCTTACTAGTTCTATCATCTAGCGCTGCTTGCGTGAGTTAAGAGAACAAATTTCCTGTGCTACTTAACGTGGTCTTTTTGTATATTGAATTGAATTCAAACCGATTTAGTAGCAATTGATTAACGCTCACTACTGCTCATTTTAATTAATAATTCTAATAGAAGAGTATTATAAAAATAGAGTAATTGCGAAATAAAATAATAGATTACCTTCTTTTTGTAAATAAATTAGAACAACAAAATAACTGATTGCCTAACTTTTTTTATATCACTAATGTGGCAAACAAGGATAACCCGTCTGATGATAAACGGTCACTGTAGCCTATGAATGCCTGCAATACTAGGGGGTATCACGTGTACTTTACTAACCCTGAAGAACCTTAATGTACTCTATTTGAAAAACCCCATACTGTAGTCTCTAGGGGAAACCTCGGCAGGAAGCTCATTTCACAGCCTGAGCGTACGCGGGAGAAAATTTCGGAAAAAATAACCGAAAAACAAAATGGTAAAACTCGCCTATAGGTGTGTATAACAAAATGGACTTTACCATTCCTGAGAATGCAGGTATTATTTCTGTGTAGTCAGTAATTTTTTTTTCATTTAGATTCATGGGTGAGATTACAACACAGCAATGCAACTGATCTAGCAGGACAGAGTTTTCTATCCCTGTAGATAACTTTTGTTCAAAAACTCCTTCTAATAACTATCCTGTAGTTTATTATAGAACTCCCACAATTAAGACGAATCTAATAATAACCCATTTGCCTATTAAAATCCACCAAACCATACGAATCATGTCGAAAAACATTGCCCTACTTTCTTCTAGGCATTGGGCAAAAGTATTCGCTGCATAAAAGTTCCCCCTTCAAAGAACTTATCGTTTCGTCGAGCGAAGCTGAAAACAATATGCCATTATTCATGGATTTTTGTTCATTAGTGAGATGCTATAACTTTGTTTTTCTTTGTTTGTGGACTAAATATGGAACCGTTGTGAAGAAACTCGAGTTGTTACTGGCGAATTCTTTATTTTCTCAGCGTATTCACAATCGGATTTTGATGCCGTTCGCAACCATTTTAGAATAAAGCATTTCTACTAACATAACATCTTTCTTTATGCAGCTAGAAATGGTAAATAATGTAGTGAATCTTTTGATGGAAAGTGGTAACCATCGCCTACATTCATGAAAATAACCTTAAATATCATAGAATTCCCTGTGACGCCCATCCTGAGAATTATGATGTTATATGGTGTAATCCGTACCCTGTAATTTTACTGCCCTTCAAATCAATACATAGTACAACAATACATGCTTCATAGGCGAAATACGAGTAGAACAAACCCAAGTAGATATATTTTATACAAAGTCTTTTCTTTGGACTTGTTATTTTTGGTGTATCCAAAAACATACTTGTAAATCGGATCTTTTAAAATCAAAAATGAAAAAGTTTACGCAGTACCTCTACTATTATAAGCTAGTTATAAGCTATGGTAAACCTCTTACTATCAGATGAACTGCATGGTTGTTTGTTATACAAATGCTATAGAAAAACAATCTTACGTTTATTTAAAACAGTATTATTTTCGCAGGTTGCCGAAACAATATCGTGGCGTGCTTCGGATATAGACTTCAAAGAGCGTGCAGCGTTTAGCCAGCTTGAGATCACTATCTTAGAAGCGGAGCACTATCGGATGGGTATCACGTATACCAGCTCTAACCTGAACAAGGTGTACCACGATCACTACATCTACGACAAGGATATGAACAAAGAGGACCGGGAAATATTAAGGTAGTAAAAGAACTAATGGAGACTTATACGTGAATTGATATAGGAAATCCCAAAATGGGTTCACCTGTAAATAGACTCAGTCCAGAATAAACAAAAATTTAAGTTGTACAAAACGATAAATAGATACGTTTTTCAATATTATCTCACACATCCCAATCATCATCATTTCGTGTTGGCTGTGTTTCGGTTTGAAGGGTGGGATATGGCGTGAATTTACTGGGTACAGAGGAAAAACACTTAAGTCCTCAGGAATGGCAACGCGTGGGGGGTATCATGGGCGAAACAGTACACTCTGTTATGTCCATGGTACTGCTCATGTCTATAGGCGACGGTTACCACTTTCCATCAGGTGGACCGTCAGCTTGTTTGCCTTTCCTTATTCTTTTTATATGTAATCTCTTTTCATGGTTATGTGCTACAGGTAGAAATTAGTAATTAATCTTTCAATCATCAGGTATACCGTTGTGCCACCGACGAGTGGCCAGTTCTCGCTGAGCTGTGTTGCGACAATTTATGACATCTATGCGAGGAAGAGCGAACCCCTGTACATCAAGGAGGATGCTCCCCTCCCTGCTTCGGTCACTGGAGAGGATTCATCAGGTATTTAACAAATAAATTTCTACCTGTGAATCCGTCCACAATACTAGGAGGTTGATAATCGTTATAAGAAATGGCATATCCCTATGTTTCAAATAGTATGTAGTAGAAATTTCAAATTGATGCTATAAATATTTTGAGAAACATTTAAACAAAACCTTCTCCTGTAAAATATGCAAAATGGCGGTTACGGTATCTTCTTCCTGAAAAGGCTCGATATAACAAATTTATTGCCTATTAAATAGGTTATGAAAGCACTGAGAGCTAAAAAATAAACTTATTTTCATATTTATAATATTAATAAAGATTACGTACAAAAAAAAAATACTGTTGAAATAAAGGCATGCCCATTTGATGAATTAAAATTGTATTAAGTTTCCAAAATATTGTACAAGTGAGCCACATCTTGCTAGTTCATATCCGGCTCGAAGGACTACGGAGACCACTTATAGAAAGTCTCTCTTTGGTATTGTTATTTTTATGTACAATACAATAATTTTTGATACTCCGAAATGAATCCTTAATTTTTTTTTTATTCATAGGCGTATCAGCTGTGTGCAACGCTGCGCTGATCGTCCTCTGCGCCTGCGCATCTCTCCTGCCCTCGTTATGATCGCGCGCGGGTCCGCGCACGCGCCCCGTTTCAATTAAACTCGCATAAGAAACTGAATGTTGTGATAGACATTAATATATAGTCAGGATATTTGTATTAATGTAAGTTATACTTATTTCAATGTTACAAATTACTTATATGTGAATATGTAAATAAAGCCATTAGTTACCGAATTGTTGGTTTTTATTTTTTTTGGAGTAAGACTGGGTGATTGGATTCATAATATAAAAATTGTTAATTGCATATCTATGAATGCATATCCAACATCATCTCTTCATAAATATGATGATAAAATACGATTGTCTGAACTGTTCTAGGTGATTTTGGTTCCGATGATTGGATCCGATCCGATGATGATGCATTTAATAATTTACACGGAAAACTTACTGAAGGTTACGTATTAAATTTATTTATTTACATTACACCTTATGAAAATACATACATACATACATATCTGTCACGCCTGTCTCCCATTAGGGTAGGCAGAAACAATGGAACGCCAAATGCTTCGATTCAAACAAACCTCTTTCGCTTCCTCCACATTCATCAATCTTTTCATACACGCTCGCCGGTTACGGGTACTTTTAATTTGGCCCTTCTTCAGCACGTCGCCTATTTGGTCATGTCAAACAATGTACATTGTGTAAGTGTGTGTAGGATATATCGGTTGTATAACCTTAAGTATATATATGTATATATATATATATATATATATATATATATATATATATATATATATATATATATATATATATATATATATATATATAGTTAAATTATTTGAATCGTTCCAGAATTTTGTTATTATTCTGGTTTAAACTCCAGATTTCTGATGTCTCGTTTAATAGTTACTACTTCTACCAAACGCAAAAAGCTGACGCAAGTTAAAACCTCAAAAGCATGTGAAGGTTTCAACTACTCATTTGCAAATAAAATTTTATTTTCTGACCATCGGTTTGCAATCTAAACTGAAAGCTGCGGCATGCAAAAGTAAATTGGTTTTGGTTTCACCCATAATCTAAGCCAAAGACGTACATTAATTCAAAATATAGACTAAAGATCATAATATTTCTTACGACCGTAATACATCCTTCGAATACTGCCGAAAATACCGAAATATCGAAACCAAGTTGCTTGGTTACAGAAACAGGTGAGAAAAAGAAATAGTGGTGGAAATATCTTGAGACCAATATAAAATAATAAATATTCTGTTTGAAAACTACCTATTCACGTCTATTTGAAATTCTGAATTCTAATATAATGAGATATAAATTAATATGATAGGCACAATATACGTTATTCAGGGAAACGAGTAAACATCTCTCTAGACTTCCTTTCACGAGCTTATACAATCAGCTCTGTAAATAGAAATATTTATATACGGCTATTATTTAAATTGTGGCACGTGTGACCTCACGTATGGATTTGCTTATTTTAGCATAATAATTTATAAAGAATTCTGATGTTTTAAAAACAAAAATTGGGGCCGTGTAGTCCCGGAATAGATAGGCCACTCCTTCCTTTCCCGTGGGCGTCGTAAGAGCCGACTAAGGGCGAGAGTTGGACAGCAACGTCCCTCTTAAAAATCTCTAAAGCCTAACTACGGTTGACAATCCGCTTGCCAAGCGTGGCAACAACTGGTAAAACTCCCCAAGGGGGAGGCTAATGTTCAGCAGTAGACATTTAAAGGATAATATAATAATAATGATGAAATACAAAAATTGAGTATAACATTTTTTTTTTTTAAATATTTTAAGGGTTTTTACCTTCTTCAGGTATATCAGTCCTATATCAATTGAGTATAATTTACCAAAGGGATTTTTTTTTATACAACTTAGAATGGCAAACAAGCTGACGGCCCACCTGATGGAAAGTGGTAACTGTCACCTATAGACATGAGCAGTAACATGGACATAACAAAGTATACAGTTTCGCCCATGATACCCCCCATGCGTTGCCATTCCTGAGGACTCAGGAATACTTAATACAATGAACAAATAATAAATATTTCAGTTGCCAAGCAGTGATACTTGGATGGCTGTATTTTAATTTGATGAGGAAGATATGACAGTGAAATTACATGGTACAGAGTATAAGATTTTATTTCTCAGGAATGACAACGTATTAGAGGCATCATGACTGTAAGAGATAGAGTATTTCATAGTGATCAATTTAGGGGCGATTATTGTCAGTTATTTAAATTCATAATTTAGATTAATCGAGTAACTACTTATATTTTAGCTAAAATAAATAAAAATTTTATACGTAGTTTGAATGCTATTATAGCTTTTATTCCATGCACTTTGTTATTATAAGGATAAAGGATTAGTTGAGCGACAAAATTCGTAAAGAAAATATCCATCTACCTACTTTAGATATACTAGTATATCTAGGACAAAATACAATGAAATACATAAAATATTCTAAATTTGTACTCATCTACGGATATGCTTATAAAAGTAAATGCAACGTACATCTGATACAATATAGAGCGACAACTTTGAAGTCGTCAACACATTTGAATGTATTTGCATTCAAATGTGTGATGTTGCATTCAAATGTGTGAAACAAAGTCGTAAGGATAGGCCACATGCTGTAATTATTATATAAATATAATGGCTATTGACCATTAAAAATTTAACATAAGCATTAATATTGATATAGAAATAATAATAATAAATAAGAATCGTCAAAGCCGACGTATATGCATGATGACAATAGATTAAGAAAAAGATGCATGTTAAGACAGTAATATTTATTCATAAAATCAGACTACCCAAGGCTTCCGTCCTTTTATAATTATTTATAATAACAAAAAAAATTTAAATTATTATATATAATATAAATTTTTTACCGGAAATATGACAACATCATCGTACAGTGCTATAAAAAGCTCTACCATCATTACCAGCGCCATCAACAGCACGCGCGTTCGACAAACAGCGCGCTGGTCGAACAGTGGCTGCTTACGATACAGCTGTGAACCGCATTCATGAATAAGTGCGTCTAATGAGTTCGTAAGTAATCAGATATCTTCTAATTTAAAACGTGAGTAAATCCAATATAATTAATTACTATATATAGACTTATTAACAAACACGGAGTGGATATTACAATTTCTTCTCATCAGTTGTTGGAAGTTACAGTCAAAGATTTTCACACAATAGAACTATCTGTAAACTCCATCTTGCAAACTTTATTATTGTTATCGAGAACTGTTAGAACTATGCTGCATGTGGGAGAAACTCATCCCTCATTTGATAAACTCGCGTTTGAGATGCTAGCTGTACAAACATCGTGTTCTTTAGATTTTAATTTGATTTCATTTGAACCAGTCAGGAAATTCGTGCTTGTACTATATCTTCTACCATTTTACTAAACTAGGTATTATTTTGCAGAAGTCCATATCACTGGTTATTTGAATAAAATTATTTTGTTTAATTCCACTACCGTTAGTATAAGCAATACTGCCAACATTTGAAGATCGACTACTATTATTATCACCGACCGTTCTCCAGTCCACGCACATGTCGTGACACGTGTTTCACTTCTAAACGAGTTTACATAAAATAATCTAAGGGCAAATGATTACATCGGTACTTAGAGCCTGGTGTTGACTATAAGTCGCCCAAACTGCAAATATCTAAAATTGAAATAAATTGTGAATTGAATGGTCAAATATTTTTAAACCAGACTCTTATCACACTGGCAGCACTGTTATTGGCTTTAAGTAGGTCTTTATCAAAATAATTGATGAATGACTGGAAACATGTTAATGATAAAATGCAAAAATAAATCATAAAAATAAATCATGGAACAAAAACATTGGTTACTTTGTACTCATAGTTAGATTAGAGTTACATCAACGGACAAATAGCAACCAACTACAATACTAATAAACTACAATAATTTAAAAAAAATATAATTTAAATACAGTAGCCTACATACATGTTAACTTAAAAAAAAAGTGTGTGTGCGTAAATGTGTGTGTGTGTGAAATATAGATAGTTTCTTCTATTAAATGAAGAATGTTTAATATCGGATAAAAAAGAAAATAGAAATGTAAATACAAAAATTATATTTAATCTCTAATGGTAATTAAAAACCTTTTTTTTTTCAATTCGGTGAAATATATTAAAACTGCTGTAAAACATTTATACTTTTATACAATAAAAGTAAATACATGTTTGTACATTAAAAGACTTCTCAAACTTGAACGGTGATCAATCAGGTTCCATTTGATTGATGAGGATCAGACGTGGAGGAATAAAAAAGTATGTACCTGTAACCTTCAAACTTCGGGCCTCCAGTAAGAAGTTAATATACAAATCTTCAATTACACCCGAATAGATACTGTAGGAAACTTTATTTCATAGTAACTGAACACAAAATCGTAGCGTTCCGCTCAATTTGTCACTAAAATGTAAAATTGTCCGAACTAAAAAAGTTCGCGATACCTTAACAAAATCGGCGATAACTCAAGCGAGATCCAATTGTCTTATTCAATTTTAAACAGTGTATCAAACCGCTCCGAAAACCATTGTCAACGTTATAACAATAGGGGTAACATTCAAATTGGAATGCGATCTGTCAAGGATATAAAGTTGGGAAGCTCTTCAGACTTCTGCCTTGGCAATTTTGTTGTACGCAGCCGATGTAACTCTTGTTGCAATAACTTAACTGCTATTTTGGCTTGCTGCGGAATCTATAAGGTTTGGATGGTAGTCTGAAGTGGTCGTTATTTCTAGAGTGTGAGCACTGGAGAGTCCTACATAAACCATCTAGTTTGGAGCCGGGCCAGAGGTATGCCTGGGCGTCAGTGATACTGGTTCGTACAGTTTTAAAACACAAAATGTATCTGCTTATAACTCAAGTACTGTGAGACAAATTTTAAGAAAAACTTAAGTACTTACAGCAAGTTACCGTACAGAAAGTTATGTAATATGGTCCTGTGATTCTATCTAGTGCTTTATCATAGATATTTATAATAAGTCTTCGAAATTTGTGTAATATATCGAAACAACACTTGCAGGATTATTGTTATAATTTGAAATTGAATGCAAACATTTTTTTATGCAACTTAGAATGCAAACAAGCTGACGGCCCACTTGATAGAAAATGTTAACCGTCGCCTATAGACATGAGCAGCACCATGGACATAACAGAG